GGAAGGGGCTCTATTCCTGGGGCACATTCCTCATCCCTAGGCTCCATGTGACCCCAGGAGGCCCCGCCCAAGCCCGTGTCACTACCGTGTGAGCATCAGACACACCCCCTCTCTCCTCCCTGGACCTCAGGGGTCCAGACTCTCGGAACCAAAAGGAAGAAGGGGTTAGGGCCTAGATTCCTGGGCCCTCCGGGAGGAGGACACTGGGTGGGGGGTGGGGGGAGGGAGGCCTAGACTCCTGGGTCCTCGCGGTAGACGGGCTTGGGAGCTGGTACTTTTGGGTCGTGGATCCTGAAAGATCTGAGGACCTAAACACCTTAAATGGGTAAAGGTTGGGAGGATGGATTCCCCGCACGGAGAAGGTAGCTGTGGACCCCCCCGCCCTGTCCCCCAGTACCTGAGTCCCTAAGGGAGTAGGGTGTCTGAGTTGGGCGAGGTGGGGGCTAGAACTCACAGCTGGCTGGTTCTTTGGGCTTGCTGGTCCCTTGCAGAAGGCTCCGCAGCCCAAGCAGCGCTTCCCCCGCCCGGGGGGGCCCCGGCCGGGCCGCCCAGCAGCAGGGGGGCCGGGGTCCTGTCGCTCACGGGCCGCGCCATCGCCGGGCACCTGCCCGCAGGCTTACGGGCTCATGGAGAGGCGAAGAGCTGGCCTGCCGTCAGCGGTACAGTCCTGTGGTTCGGGCGAGTGTCTTGCCCAGGGGCGGGCGAGCGTAGCTTGCAAGATTCCAGTATCCAGAACAGTGCAAATCCTAGGAGCGACGGGGATTTGCAGTCCTCGCTGCAGAAACGTGCAACTCTAGAGGGTCCCGGGAGACCATGCAGTCTGGGTGAGGGGAGGATCAAATCCGACGGCCAGCTCTTTGCAACGGAGGGCTGAAGGGGACTCAAGGCGCTCCTTCCACAAGGTGGGCGAGCCTGGCTCTTGCAAAATCTGCAGCTCTCTCAACGGAAGGCGCTTTGCAATCTGCACCAAGAGGTGAGCACAGAGGGGCGGGGGAGGGGGCAGGAGGAGGCGGCAGCCTTGAGGCGTGGCCAAAGCAAACTTCTTTCGCGGAAAAAAAAAAAAAAAAAAAGCCAAACCAAAACACCCGACGCCACAGCGAGCACCCCTCCTCTCGGCCCCCGCCCGCGCCCGCCCAGCCCCGCCCGTCTCTGGGGCCATGCACCCCAGCCGCGTGCCTCCCTCGGGCTGAAAGCGCGGGCCAATCGCGTTTCATACCCCTCGGTACGCTCAGGCAAATGGGAGCGGTGGCTCCCCAAGGCCTGGGATACGGGAGGGGCCCGGGGCGTGAAGTTGCCCCGCCTTTTCGTGGGAGGCGGGACTCCTGATCTACATTTGGCCAATGGGAGACGGCCCTGGGGGCGGGTCCGTGACCCAGTTCGAGCCAATGAGGCAGGCGGGAGGAGGAAGCACATGGCTCTGCGCGTGCTGCCTGACCCACGGAGTGGGTAAGGGGTGGGGGCGGGTGGGAGAGGCGCCGCTTAATGGAGCCGCGTATCCAAACGATTGTTTTGGGAATTAGGAAGTAAAAAACCCCAATAGCGGGGTTCAGGAAGACGGGAGATGGGTTTCTAGAAGAAGGGGGCTATTCTCCAATCCCCGGCCGCGCCTCGAATCAGACCACTGAGAAACAGGAAGTATTCTGTCCCTTTAATAGCTTTGTTTTGGGGGTGACTCCCCTCCCTTCTTGGGTAGGGTTGGGAAGGGCAGGCGCAATCCTCGGTGGGGAGCCTCAGCGACCGTGGGGGGCACCATCCACTGCAAGACAGACGATACCGATGGAGGACGTTAGTTGCGGGCACAGTCGCCTGGGCTGTGCAGGGGGCGTGCAGGGGGCGGGGCCGGGGCGGTCGGGCTCTACCACCGGGAGGCTGAGAAGGGGGGACCGGAATGTACCAGGTGGAGAAGCTGGTAGACATGGCCCGGCAGTCGGCGGAGCCGCAGCGAGGCGGCAGGAGGGTGGCATGGGGACGCTCAGTGTCAGCATCAGGCTGAACTACCAGAAGGTATTCCTGAAGGGGGGACGGGGGGGAGCCCCTGGACTGTACCATGTTGAGAAGCCGGAGAGGTGGCCGTTTAGATCTCAGGGCTGAAGGGAGCGGAGGAAGTCGGAAGGGAAGGGGATTGAACCATATTGATTCTCAGGAAAGGGCGGGGGGAGCGGCTGTCAGATTATGGAACAGCATAGGGTTTACACCACGTGGGAACCGGAAATGGATCCGGATTCCACCGCTTTGGAAGAGGAACCCACAGACCCATAGGTAACCGTACCACAAAGAAGCCAGGGGTGTCGGGTTATATACCAAGTTGCACGTTACAAGCAGTGGAGAGGAAAGACAAATCATGGACCAGCAATGGTCTATGGTAGGGAGGTGGACTGTAGCACGTGGACACATAGGGAGGAGGGAGTAAGAGCGAGCGAGAACTCAGGAGGCTGGACCATACGGAAGCAGCAAAGGAGGGTAGGACTTTATCATATTGACACACCGTAGGGAGACACATAGGCGGGTTAGACCAAGACGTGGTGGTGGTGGTGGTGGGGGTGCAGATTGGTCCATACCATGCAGGCGGTAGTTGGGGCCTCGGCAGCGCCTCTCAGG